CTTAACTGTAGCTGCCAGGAAATCTGATCCATTGGTGACTCCATAGATAGCTCTGTATCTTCAAGAGATTTATTTTTTTAAAGTCTGTCTAAAAATAAAAAATTTCAGCTGAATTTATATATACTGTAGTTTGAGACATAAGCACAAATACATTATTTCTATTCAAATATAAGTTTAACTTAAAAAATTAAAACCAATGGAAAAATTAATCCAAGGTAAAAAAATTTCCATTTATACAGAGTTACCTATAGTATTTTTTAGAGTATATGCCTCATCTCTAAATCCTGCTCTAGAGATTTTGGAAACAACATGATCATAAGCCATTTTCTTCTAATTTAAAAACAAAACAAAACAAAATAAGCCTCTATAAATTTCCCCACCTGAACTTAAAATTAGTAAATTATTACATTCCTCATATTTAGGTATCATCTAGAAGTACTTAGTAGAAAATCAGAAGGGGGAAGTTTTGCATCTCTAAGCAGTGAGGAACTGCTTTCTTTTCCTCCGCTAATAAATTACAGGCAGACTTGAACAGATGTCAGGTTGGCATTCAAAACCTAAAATATAGCTGAAAAGCAAGTTATGACTAATACAAGGAAAAAAGATGAATGTCAGAATGCTTCATTTTTTTTTCAAATTTCAGATAAGCTCTTTAGCCTTAGGGTTCCTTTTACAGAGCCCTGGAGTTCGGCTAGATGTCTTAACCCCCATTTAAATTGCAATCTCTCCTCATGAGTGGGGGTGTGAAAATGCATTTTAAGAGTGTCAGTGTTTATGTTAATCTTAGCAAGAACTCCCTCTCTCCCAAATATGGCATGCACAAAACCTTAGTGTCCTTTCTTCCACTATGTTTTATTTGCACTGTTCTTAGCATGAGAAAGATTTCTGTGTGATTGAAAGGCTCCTTATCTTCCCAGCAGGTCTACTTCACAGAGTAACTGCAGTTTTACTTACGATATCAGAAAAGAGTTGCTTTCCTTTAGAATTTCAAAAGAAATCTTAAAAATACAGATTGAAAATGGGCTTAGAGAGAGAGGCATAGGGAAAGGGAACCAAAAAGAACACAGTGTCGGTTTCAAAGAATGGGGTACACAAGACCATAACAAGTGGCGTTCCTCCCCACTAGGTGGCCTGGACATCTACAAGCCATAGATCCACAAAAGAGAGTGCTAGTTGAGGCCTTCAGTCTCTATACCCTTTTCCTTCTAGCTGTCCTGCCAAAGCCCCCTTCCTTGGGTAGATGTGAACCTATTCCCAAGGTTATATTAAGAGACACTAATTCTTTAACAATTATTCTGCTGTTCATTGAAAAGAATTGTTCTTTTCCTCTGACATATAGAGTTTAGAGATAACTGCCAAGGATACTGAAAAATGAAGTTTCAGAAATTCTCTTTGACAACAGAAAAGCTTCAATGAGAACTGAGATAATCATTTATTTATCTTGAGAACTCTCCTCAAAACTGCACACAGGAGAGTAAGTGTAGTAAGTGTCTGAACTGAAGCATATATTCAGTTGGTTCCTGAATATGATCCAGGACAGCAATCAGCTGCTGAATTTATTCACCTCTACTTCCAAACACCAGCTTTTTTTTTTTCCTTTTTGTCTTTTTTCGTGTCCGGCAACGGACCGCAACCCTCAGTGTCGTGCCCGTACCGGACCGGGACCGGCAACGGGATCGCAACCCTCGGTGCTGCGCCCGCCCCTCGCTCAGCCAGTGAGCGGGAACCGGTCTGTATGTGGGATCCAAACCCTCGGCGGGAGCGCCACCACGCTCCCAAGCGGCACACTGTAGTAGTGCGCCACCGGGCCGGCCCCCAAACACCAGCTTTTGACGCTCACATTTCTACCACGGAACTCAAATGGTGCTTCTATTACACAAACAAAGTAAGGATTTAAGGTAATTCCTAATTAAACATCTATCATTGTGGGAGCTGGAGGACATTCTAACTAATGTCTGTTTGGTAGTCACTAAGTGCAAGGGATAGGTCTAGTTTTCTTTGCTAATACTTTCGTATACTTCTAAAGAAGAGCTGCCCACTTGGGTCTCAGTGAGTCCAACTGCTACAGACAAGGAAAAAATGAATAGTACACTGACTAAAACAACAACACAAACAGAAGTTTGAATTGATATTCCTCCTAAGTAATCCCTTTTTCTTTGTCTACATACGGCCTTTTTCTCTCTGTCTATAGAGCTTCATGTGATTTCTTTTCCTCTTTAAAGATTTCTTTAATTCTATAAAAATATAATAAAAGCTGGAAGGTATACATTATGTACTTGAAAGTATTTCAAGAGAGAAACTAACAGATAGGATACTATATGACAGTTATTTTTCATGTATATATTACCTCATCTGATCCCTAATTTTACTGAATAATTGTGTGCCTCTGGTTAAGTCATTTAGTCTTCCTACACCTCGTTAGCAACATTCTATATGTATCTAAACTATATTTTCAATTTTGAAAAGGTAATATGAAGTTTTACAAGCAAAGGAACTATATTACCTAGAAGCATAATTATCAGTTTCATAAACATAATGACAGAAGAGAATTCTAAAATTATCACTATAAATTTGAAAAATTGACATAAAAAGTCCATTTAGTTAAGATTTCTGTTTACAAAGTAGATAACTCCAGACTCCACAGTAAAGACTCTACGGTAAATGGGAAAAAAAGCCCTATAACTTACATAAATTATTCTTTTCTAATTTTTTTCATTTGAATTGATTTAACCAATCACAACAAGTGTGCAATTGAATCCCCAAACTATACAGGTTTGTTTACATAGTTAACAAAGAGTGAGGGGAAAAAAATCAGCCAATTTCATTCCCACTCGGCAGTGTAAAAGACGGTATGCACAAAAGGACTTGTATAACTGTACTTATATTCTGTCCAAATGTAGCAGTTTTTACTTTTACATACCTTTTTATCAAGCCACCCTGTACTTGGAGTGTGATGAAATATTTTACTACATAATTCCCTGAAAATTCAAAGGAAAAAAGAAGCTTCTATTGGAGAATAGGGAATGACATATGCACAGCAAGAGAATTATTACTCAGCCATTTAACCATAAAAAAAAAGTAGCTTTACTTCTTTTAGATACTCAGAAGCTTCATTCAGAATAAAGAAAATGTTTTTAAATTCAGCTCAAAAGCCAAGGTAGCTGTACATTCGTTGTCTTTTAAATCAAATTGATAACACATGCTTCTTGATGGCAAAGAGCCATAAAGAGGGGAAAATACGACTTTTTAAAAAGGATAGAATTCATTTTTTGTCTGAATTAGTATAAAAATATTAGAAAAATAAATCCATAAAAAAGTAGCACTCATAAACAAAATTTAAATCCATAGTCCTTAGTCAAAAAAGCACATTAGTAACAACAAAAGCAAACTACTATAGTTCAACTCATTTCAGTATGAATACAGAAACATACCAAATTCATTAAACTTGTTTTCATTTAATTTCAAACTCTTCAACAGTGGACAAGGTAACAAATTGGCTAATACAAGTTTTACTCCTTTATATTATCTACCTAACCTCATACAGAGTCCCTCATGAGCAGGATCTGGATAATGCACAAACTGTAAACTAGTATCTGAATAACTGTATCCTCAATAGTTTCCAAACAATGAGAAAACATAATATAATTAAAAGATATGGCTTACTACAGAAGCGGTTATTTTTCTACTTTTGACCAGATAGTATAAATGTTCAAAGAAACAGAATCATGATACTGTTTCTGCACTAAGTCTTAGTCCTGAAAACCAGTAAAATTATTCCAAAAGAATAATCTAGAACATTTGGAATCATATTTTTATTTCGCTTTTACCCAAAACAGTAAAAAAATATTCCATGTCTTGATCAAAAAGCTTTATGGATTTATTGTGTTTCAAAATACACATTACCAAGATTGTGAACTACCACACTTCCTGCTATTTTTCAAATTAAAATTCTGTTTTTTATGGACTTGGCCTTTGTATCTTTCAGATAAAAAGTATGTTATTGCCATTTCAAGGTGTATAAAACTCAGGTGATGAGGGTCTCTGTCATTTTCTCTTAATCCAATTCCAAACTCGACCTTTACCCAGTGAACAGGTGTGTGCTGTGCCTGTAATTTATCAGAGTAAGCGACCAGGTAGAAAAGCTACCAACAATAGGAGGCTAATACAATCCAAGCACTTACTGCCTAGAAAGCAGTTCTTATCCCCACCATGATGAATATACTTTTATCTCGTAGTAGCAATTTAAGGATAAAGAATCATGGGGATGAGGGGAGTAATATATTCATATTCCTTCAATTTTTTGGGATACTGTTTTTGCACTAATAGTCTGCCAGAGCTGTTACGTTATAAATTCCTTTCTCGGATTTTCTGTTGCTCACATTCCAATCCAATGTATGATATGGATATGAAAACAGTCATGACAGCATTTCCACTGGGCAAATAAAGTCACTTCACACAGATAAATTAAATAAACCTTCAAGAAGAAAGTGATAAATGAATAGAGCCTTTCTTTGTATGCAATATAGAAACTACTATGTATATCTTACATTTGTCTTTTTGGATCAAACTTATCTAATTTAAAGACATGCCAGGTACCTATCTACTAGGTATGCAGATATATTAATCAGGTAATGCAACAGCACAATAAAAATGAGCAACAGATAATGTTAGAACAATGCTAAATCAGACCCAAAATGGATCTTTAGAGTCAGGTGAAATTTCTAAGTATTCCTTATAGATAAACATTCTTAACTAAGTAAATAAGTGAATAAAATGAAGCAACCACAAATATTATTTCTGTGATTTCCTCATAAAATTAAAATGTAATTTTAAAAGGTCTAATATTTTGAAAGTTTTTCAGAAAACTTATTTTTTCTGAAAAACAAGAGAAAATAGGTCTTCAAAAATAATTTCAAAACTATTGAAAAGAGATTCTTCATCACATTAATTTTCTTTTTAAACGATACAAGATTTTATCAAATTTTCTTTTTTAAACTCACCCATCTGCTCCACAATCTCTGGAGGAAATACTCGGGAAGCAAATGCTCGTCGAAAAATATCTGAAAATTCCTTGTCTAGACCTCCTATTCCCATTTTTTCAAAGTTCCAGTCAGGATTGATAATAGATTGGCGATTTTCCTTGGTTTTAGCTTTGCCTATGTAAAAAAAAAAATATAATCAAATATGAAACAAAAACTTCATCACTAAGTGTTAAAAGACAGACAGAACTCCCTAGGCATCCTAAATGAATAAAGAGAAGCTACCCTTATGACAAAAATGAACAACATACTCTTAGCTGATTTTCTAATGAGAAGAGTAAGTTTTGCTCTGTGATCTACTTTGCCTGATCAACACTTATGGCCAGTAATACAGTTTCAAAATGACTAGCTAAACTTATGCTGTAGTCTATCTGTAATTAATCCATGCAGCTTTTCATTAATCTTTAATCTAATCAAATTAACTAATTTGGTTGATTAGAAGAAACAACATGCGCATATCTGATGAAGACAACACACTAAGTGACAGAAATGCAACTGAAATCTAGCAGTCTCAAGGGTACTAAAAAAAGTGTACTTAAAAATATATGTATTTTATTTGGATTAAGTTTACAATTGACTATATAATCCCTCAGCTTGAGAAGACACACTGAATAAGTTTAATGTCTTATTTGCTTTTTCTTCACTTGTACACAAAAGTGTGAAATAATTCTAAAGACTTTAATGGTTACAAAATTCATGTTTAAGAATTCTTTCACAAGGATAAAAATTATCTAACTTAAATCAGAGTGCCACCTAAAGTAACTCAAGAGAACCACGTTTACTATTTCAAACAGAATGAAGTACCTTAGTACACTTTACTAGAAACAAAAAAAATACTTTTTTTATAAAATCAGAGAAAATGTTACATTAAAAAAGTCAGCCTAAGAAATGACAAATATTTGAGGCGATGAATATATTAATTAGCTTTATTTGATTATTCCACAATGTATATACATTTATCAAAATAAATTGTCCCCCATAAGTATATACAGTTATTATTAATTAAAAATAAAATAAAGGGCTGGCCTGGTGGCGCACTCCGTAGAGTGCGGCGCTTGGGAGTGTGGCGGCGCTCCCGCCGAGGGTTCGGATCCCATATAGAGACCGGTCTGCTCACTGGTTGAGCGCAGTGCGGGCGCGACACTGAGGGTTGAGATCCCGTTGCCGGTCCCGGTACGGGCGCGACACTGAGGGTTGCGATCCCGTTACCGGTCACAAAAAAAGACAAAAAGGAAAAAATAATAATAAAATAAAATAAAATAAAATAAAAGTTTTTTTAAAAAAAGTTTATCCTAGATGGTAATTTTATGCCTAGTTTTTTAGCCTTAAAAATTCCTTTAGGAAGCTATGAAAAATATTTTTCTTATACTCTACTGCCCTCTTGTGGCCAAATTTACTGCATGCCAAATTACTACACAATTTCATTTTCCAATGGAAGTCACAAGGATTACTTAGAAATACCTACATTGTATGAAAATTATGCACCTCCCTTGGGATAACATAGCTTAGCAAATGGTGTATAAAACAAAATACAAGATATCACTTCATAAGTGTATTGGATCAGTAACAGATTACAATATATCCTACATCCCTAAAAATAAATGAGATATATTGGCATTAAAAATCATGTTGTATAGGTATATTTACAATGCTTGAAACATGCTAAACAAAAAAGCAAATTATAAAACAGTATGAAAATAGAATCAAATTTTAAAGTGTGTGAGTTGTTTTTGTGAGAGTGCCTATCCACATTTTATGAAATATTTTATTTTATGATTAAAGAATAAACAATAAGGGGGAGTGGTAGTTTATGGATCAAGAAAAAAAGACCACTCATTCAAGAAAGTTAAGTAAGCTTGGATATGATGGTGTGCAACCAATGAAAATCCTCTAGTTTTTATTGGGGTAGATATCAACATAGTCAAATCAACTGCAAATAAGAATTACTATACAGTTAATGGCACTGTTATTCTGGTCAATTATTATTCTTAGAGACCAAGCTGCATTATTTTAATATAATAAAAGTAGGGCTAAAGTAGAAAAGTAGGACCGAACTATGAATGTATTGAAAAAATTTTACCTGCACATTCATCACTTAACACTATCACTTATAGAAGTGATGATAGTATCTCATTTAACATTAACAACCAGATGAGGAACATTCTACAGAGTAACTAACCAATTCTTAAGGTTATGAAAGACCATGAAAATCTGAGGAACTGTAAGAGACTGGAGAAGACTAAGAGAACAAAACATGTAAATTCAATGTGGGATCCTGAATTAGATCCCGGAACAGAAAAGGACATAAAGGAAAAACTTGTGAAATCCCAATAAAGTTTGTAGTTTAGTAATAGCAATGAAACCATGTTAATTTCTTGGTTTTGCTCATTTTTCTACAGTTATATAAGATGTTAACATCAGGGGAAGCTGTTGAAAGGCTTATAGGAATTCTGAGATTATTTGTGCAAATCTTCTGTAAGCCTAAAATTATCTCAAAATTAAGTTAAAAAACTAATTTCATTGTTTCTTTTTACTTATTTTTAGGTGGCTACTAAAAAATGAAATTACATATGTGGCTCACATTCTATATCTATTGGACAATGCTGATCCAGATAAAGGTTTTAACTTTTTTTCATCAGAACATCTGACAAATATGAAATACCCTATGATTCTGTGATAAGCCCTCTCAACGGACATGCCTCTCTTTTCCTTCCCCACTTGAAAATCACTGCAGTTGAGTCACATATAATAGAGTCCCACTTCATTCAGAATTTTCTAAAAACTATAAATCTTACCAATAAGATTAAGTGATGAATTTTCTGCTTTTTCAAATGCAACTTGACTGTTTCCAACAACCAGTCCTACTTCAATCTGTACAGAAAGACAATAATTAGTAGTCTAATAGCAGACTTCTGGACTTCTCAAAGCAAGGCCAAAAGTGAAGAGGAAATGAGGTCCCTCTGTGAAAAGCAAATCTTCCAAACTATCACCTGAGTTACACTTACTTTTCTCATAACAACCTTCTATAATTCCTATATGCTTTATTCCAATGTCTATCTGTTTTCAAAAATGCCTTTCTTAGGGCCGGCCCGGTGGCGCACTGCTACAGTGCGCCGCTTGGGAGCGTGGTGGTGCTCCTGCCGAGGGTTCGGATCCCACATACAGACCGGTTCCCGCTCACTGGCTGAGCGAGGTGTGGGAGCAACACCGAGGGTTGCGATCCCGTTGCCGGTCCCGGTCCGGTATGGGCGCGACACTGAGGGTTGCGATCTGTTGCCGGACACGAAAAAAGACAAAAAGGAAAAAAAAATGCCTTTCTTATTATTTATAAAAGATATTTACATTCAATCAGGATTACAAGTATGTAAATTTCAAATTACTATATTTTAAGCTACATTTTATTAACAATGCTGGCTATAAAAGCATTTTTTTCTCCCTACTATCTTAAAAGAAAGAGTACACAATATGAAAAAAAATCACTGAGCAATAGTTAGAAAAATTATATTAATTTTCATGATTATATCACAAAGATTCTAATAAAGATTATTAGAAATAAAGCATACCTTCTGTCTTTTACCTGTTGCAGGCTCTCCCTTTAGGATGCTAGGATCCATGGCTTCAATATCTTTCACCAGTAAGCCAAAAAGCTTTTCATTGAAGCTAAACACAAGCTATGTAGAAAAGGAGCAAGGGGACAAAGGGTACAAAAGTAATTTCTGGTAATGGATAGATATGCCCCCAGTATGAATCTGGCCCCCACGTCATGGACAAGAGGGGGATAATCAGCTTTGTATTTCATGAACATTCATAGTAAATAAATAAATAAAAAGAAAAGGAGCAAGGGGAGAAAAATCACTTCATGATATAATGGCTTGATTCTCACATCATCACCAATGTCTTCCAAATGAAGAAAAGCAGTTTTCTCTTGTTTACCCATCTCAAATTTGCTCCACAGGCAAACTACGCATATAGCCAATGAAAGGAAAGGGAGACTAACATTTATTATCTACTATGTACTACAACCACTACAAGAGGTTAAATAATTTATACTCACAAACACGCTTGGAAACAGAAATTATTACTCAGTTTTACCAGTGAAGAAGCTGAGATCCAGAGAGAGACTAAGCAATAGGGCTCAGAGTCACAGTAAATGATAGTGACAGGAGACAAGCTTAGGTATGTGACTCTAAAATTCCTGCTTTCCTACAACCAGTACAAAATGCCTGCCATACAAGCGCAGAGACAGCTTCTGAATGCTCAATCATTCATTTTCACCAAATATTTATTGAGTGCCTTCTACAAGACAGACCCTCTTCTATTTGATGGGGCAAAGCTATCTGTCAATCCTGCCACTACTAACTACTACAAATAAGAATAAATATTAACAGTCATTTCAGGGAAGATAAAATTTTAAGTATTTCTTTTATGTATTATGGAGGATTTTCTCTCATGGATTTACTGAATTTACACGTAATTAGGTTTAAAATTATTACAAATACTGAAGTATCTTCTATTAAGATACCTAAAGTTAAAGGCAAAGGTAAAAACAATGAAGTTTTAGGCAATTTGAGCACAATTATTAGTCAAAAAATGCAGGAATCCAGAAGGAACATGGCATAGACCAAAAAGCAATGGAAAGGTAGTCAACAAATTGTTAGCTAAATCACCTTGGGGAGCCTTCTCTGACCATCCAATACAAACAGCACCACAGTGTCTCTCTAGTGCCATGTCCTGGTTTACTTATATCAGGATAGTTAACAGTATATGGCATTTCTTTCTTATTCTCTGTATTCCCCAACTAGAAACTAAGTTCTATGAGAGTAAGGATCATGTCTATTTTGTTTATTGTTGATCCACAGTGCCTAAATAGTGGCAGGAACATATTAGTGCTATTGAATATTTGTTTAATTAATTCTTGTCTCAGCTATGTAGCCATGGGCACACCATTTATCTTCTCTGGAACTAAAATTCCTCATTTGTAAATGAGAAGGTTAGACAATATAATCTCTGAGGTTTGTTCCAATTCCAGTATTCTTTTAAAAAACACACTGTCGTCTATTGCCTGTCTATGAGTAATTCAGTTTCCACTTGCAAAAGTTTGATATTATACTGTATGGATTATCTAGTTCCTTAAAGTCTTATTCTTCCAGATTTATGCCATTTCAGTTGGAGAAGAAAATGTAAAAAAATAAAAATAAAAAAAATAACACTCTTTTCATTCCAATAGCTCCTTCCTTCTACCACTGATTTCATTCCCCTTCCTAGCTACCTTCCCATGTGAGATAACACAAGAGCAGTCTGGGTAAGTTGTTGGAGATCAGAATGCTATAAAGCAGCAATTCTCAAACACTTTGCTTTCAGTATCCTTTACACTCCTAAAAAATTTTGAAGACCCCAAAGAGCTTTTGTTTATATGGATTATATCTACTGATATTCACCATATTAGTAATTAGAACAAAAAACTTAAATTTATTAATTTAAAAATAACAATAATAAAGCCACTGTGTTAATATAACATTTTTAATTTTTAATATATAAACATATTTTTAATTTTTAGAAATTCTATTTCCTAAAAAGAACAAAAAACATAAGTGACAAGAGTACACTGTCACATTTTCACAAATCTCTTTAATGTCTTGCTTAATGTTAGACAGCTGTATAGATCCTCATTTCTGCTTCAGCAGTCAATGTGCTGTGCCAGCACACGTCACGTAGTCTCTGCAAAACTCCACTGTACGTTTGTGAGAGAATAAGAGAAAAAAAGGCAAATAACATCTTGGTACTATTATAAAAATAGTTTTAACTTTGTAGACACCCTGAAAGGGTCTCAGGACCACACTTTGAAACTGCTGCTATGGAACTATAGTAATGAGAAAGGAGTCAGGAATAATTAAGAAAAGTCACAAAGGTGGCAAATGTAATGGTAAGGTCAAAAGAGCAATGATTACTTAGTATATATAGACAATTTTCTTAAGGTTCTCAAATAAGTCCATAACCAAAAACAGTTAAGAACTACTTTTCTACAGAAATACATTAGTGAAAGAGAAAGACACCCTAGAGACAAAACAAATGTTGTACAATAAGAAATAAGAAATTTCAGATATATACATCTGCAGTGTTCCCAAATCTGCAGAGGGAAATTGCTGTAATTATATAAGAATTTTAACCTAAAAACTACTCTAGAATTTTTCTGAACAGACTCTCCTGAAAGTTCAGAAAATACATCTCCCTCACTTTTTATCACTCATCTTGGATATGACTATTCATATGCACAGCTCCTCTCAGTTTTTAAAAAGTAGAATTAATTTTGGACAACTGCAGAGATTAGAATACCTATAAAGTGAAAGGAATAAAAGAAAATTTAAAACTACCTGTTGTCCCACCGAGAAGGCCTGGTTGTTGAACTGTTGAATAAATTCTGCAGCCATCTTGTCAGTGTCATAAGGGTTGGAGTCAATGCTTTTTTTCTGCAGGAAATCAATCTCGATGGTCATTGTGCCAATACATTGTTTGGCTTTGTCAAATGTGTATAAAGAGACTAGGGGGGAAAAAGCATTTTTTAAAATCACAGGGACACCAAATACTCGCTGTGTTTTCAGCAACTAAAAGTTTCACATAAATGAATCATAACAGAACTTGACCAAAAGGAGGTTTAAATGGCCTTCATGGGAGGAACACACAGGTACAGATTATAATTAATAACCACTAGAGATTTTCCTCCCCATCAGAATTAATTGGAAAATGTTGAACATCACTCTCCCTCTACTGTTACTCTTCACCTCACTCTTATGGGGAAATCACAGCCCTCCCCATGTAGCTTCTGCATCTTCCTCCTTCTCACTTAGCAGAGGACAAAATGCCACATGGGAAGCCCCAGCAGAACTGGCATAGCATGCTGTTTCCAAACAAGATTTTTGTTTGACCCAAGAAAGAGCTAAAGTGAGAGATGGGTGGATTATTTTGCCCTAAGAAAATAAGGTGCAGGACAGAAAAAAAAGGCTTGAGAAATAATGTTTACTAGGGGAATTTGCTCCAGAGCAAGTCAGAGTCTGACATTTCTAATAATAGAAATTTTGTAATACTACAAAAATATTTACTGAGCACCTATTACATCTAGGAAAGTTGTACAGGTACAAGATGCAAAACAAGACAAGGACCAAGTTTTTAACTCATATTCGTATTAACAGCATCTAACAGTGTCTTTTAGGTGCCTGATATATTCATGAACTGTTTAAATGAAACAACAACAAAAAACCCCCATGGTCTGCATGCTAATAACATAGGAGAAGAGACAAGCATATATACAAAGCTTTGAGTAAGAAAATTCCTGTTTAAGCCACAAGAAAAGTTCCAAAAAGGCTTTTAGGCTACAGAGCATTAAATTTAAATATTAAAGCATTACACATTTTATATCATATAATAACTGTTCAATGAAAAACCTTTACTTGTAGAACTAAAACATGGTTTACGCATCACATCTTCAGAAAAATAGGTGTTAAAAGAAATTTTTCTAATGACATATAATTACAAAGAAGCATTTCCATTAAAAAAACCTGACCCTTAGGGCCAGCCCATGGCTCACTTGGGAGAGTGTGGTGCTGCTAACACCAAGGCCACAGGTTCAGATCCTTATATAGGGATGGCCAGTTAGCTCACTTGGGAGAGGTGGTGCTGACAACACCAATCCTTATATAGGGATGGCCAGTTAGCTCACTTGGGAGAGGTGGTGCTGACAACACCAAGTCAAGGGTTATGATCCCCTTACCGGCCACCTTTTTTTAAAACAAAACAAAACAAAACAAAACAACAAAAAACCCACAACAAAACTGACCCCTTTTTTTTTTGTCTTTTTCGTGACCGGTAAGGGGATCGCAAGTCAAGGGTTATGATCCCCTTACCGGCCACCTTTTTTTAAAACAAAACAAAACAAAACAACAAAAAAACCCACAACAAAACTGACCCCCCTTTTTTTTGTCTTTTTCGTGACCGGTAAGGGGATCGCAACCCTTGGCGTGGTGTCGCTCGCACCGCGCTCAGCCAGTGAGCGCACTGGCCATTCCTATATAGGATCCGAACCCGTGGCGGGAGCATCGCTGTGCTCCCAGCGCCGCACTCTCCCGAGTGTGCCACGGGGTCGGCCCAAAACTGACCCTTAAATCCGCTCAGAAAGCATATTTATAAATGCCAGTTTATAAACAAGCTTTTTTTTTTCTTTTAAAGATGACTGGTAAGGGGATCTTAACCCTTGGCTTGGTGTTGTCAGCACTGTGCTCAGCCAGTGAGCAAACCGGCCATCCCTATATGGGATCCGAACCCGGGGCTTTGGTGTTATCAGCACCACACTCTCCCGAGCGAGCCACGGGCTGGCCCTATAAACAAGCTTTTAAAGAAAAAAACATTACACTGCAATATATTGTATTAAGACCATTATGAAAGACTTGAGTAAGCTACCCAGAAAACTTCAAAAGGAGTTTTGCATTTGAGTTTCCCCAACGGGGCAACTTGATTACACTCCGTAAAAAAAATGTCTATCACTGCTCTTCAATAGGGCGTAATGCATATACAATTTACTTTTCCTTTGTGTTTCCTGAATACCGTTGTCCTAAAATTTGCCAATGGCCCCTTTAGGACACAGTAGAAGCTCTTTTAAGCAACCTCCACTCACCAGAATACTGACCAACTTTTATCCCTCTAATATATACCAATCAGCCTATGCCTTGCGCTTGATGCTCAGAGATTGTAGTCTCCCCATGTGCCACTAGAGTTACTACACATTACGGGTCAGCTATGTTCATTCTATAATCTGTTTATGCTAGTTATGCTTGTTACAATAATTATGCAATATATTAAATAGTATAAAAATGTTGAAATTTTGACGTTCTAGAATCAATGTTATAAAACTAAGTTGAAAGCTTTGGAAAACTTAAAAAAGGGAGAATTTCTTCTAAAAAGAAAAAAGCCTGTTAATTATGTATCAGCAAGAAAATTAGAAAAGATTGGGAGTAAAAATCCATCAAGTCCAAAAGGATTCTGTACTCCCAAATGCTTTACAAGGTCTAAGTTATCCATCCATTTCAAAAATACCCATGTGGAAATTATAGGTGAAGTTTACGCACAAAAGAGAATATAGAACTCCAATCCATGGACCAAAATCCCAAGAAAAGGCCTTTAACCAACTTTAACTAACTACCAATGCCACTGGATAAGAGAGCTTCAACAATTCTCCAAAAAAAGTAGGTAATAAAAAAAGACTGGTTTTTCACACTTGCTTTGGACAATAGGTATGGCACTTTTGTGACTTTCTCTGGCCAAATAGCAAGAACTGAACAAAAAAGTCACTGCAGTGTAGCTTTTGATTCAATTGATTATCAGTATTAAATGCCTGTTGCAAAGATTCTAGTGGTTTGCAAACAAAGCTGTTCTCTTTAAAGGGACTTTTAGTCTGTGTGTTTCAATAGACTCTGCTAGTAACTAAAAGAAACTAAATAAATCATTTAAGCTCTCTGTGCCTTGAATTTGTCACATCTATAAATCAAGAAGATGGAATGAGATAAGTCTTTGTGGTCATTTCCTACTTTAAATCCTGTTCTAAACTTATTTCTTTTAATCTATCCGCTTGAATTATGTAGAAGAATTTTCTATAAATTCTTCAAATAAAAGTACTTGCATAATCATATTCTTATATTTTGGTTTGCCATCTCAAAGGAGACACACATATTTTAAATATTTCAAAAGCAAAATAACAAAGTCCATGTAAGGGATGGAAAAATGCACTGAAAATCAAAGAATAAGCTCAAATCTTAGGTGAAAGTTTCAGAATGCCTCCAAGCCTGGATGTTTTGTTCCTTCTTAACATTTCCTAAAAGTACAAGTTATATGCTAAGTAAGCAAGAGAGCTCAGTTGTTTCCCAACATAGTGAAAACGTTTATAGGTTAAAATATAAACGTAAAAATGAATAATTTGGTTCAACAATTCCATTTCCAGGTATCTGTCTCAGAAAGACTCTTGGACATTTGCCTAAAAAAAGATGTATAGAGATGTTCATCGCAGCATTACTTGCAATAGTCAAACTGAAAAATGCTGATCAGTAGGGGAACAATAAATGAAATGTAGAATATTCGTAATGTGAGATACTGCATAGCAATTTTTATTAAAATAAAATCTTGATGTATATTTGATAACGATGGATTGCCCATTAAAAACATAATATTGAGTGAAAAAAGCATACTGCAGAAAGACCTGTATGATATACCACTTTGTGCATTAAAGACTCCAATAAAATACAATAATGTCAAAATGCATATATATGTGTGTGTATATATAAGTGTACTTCAAAAAGTTCATGTAAAAATAGAATTAAAAGATAATATGAATCTTTTCATGAACTTTTTGAAGTACCCTTGTATGTATATGTATATATATCATCTTCATACTAATAAATTTGAATAAGTGTATTAAAACATTATCATTACTGGGCTGGCCCGGTGGCGCACTCGGTAGAGTGCGGCACTTGGGAGCGCGGTGGCACTCCTGCCAAGGGTTCGGATCCCATAGAGAGACCCGTCTGCTCACTGGTTGAGCGCGATGCGGGCGCGACACCAACTCGGTAGAGTGCGGCACTTGGGAGCGCGGTGGCACTCCTGCCAAGGGTTCGGATCCCATATAGAGACCCGTCTGCTCACTGGTTGAGCGCGATGCGGGCGCGACACCGAGGGTTGCGATCCCGTTGCCAGTCGCGGTACGGGCGCGACACTGAGGGTTGCGATCCCGTTACCAGTCACGAAAAAAGACAAAAAGGAAAAAAAAAAAACATTATCATTACTAACTGTAGTTTTCAAATATATTTTTAAAAGGTCAATGTTCCTAAATACAAAAGACCAAGCAGTTCAATATCAAATGCTATGGGCAGTACCATGGACAGTATCACAGGGAGCATCAAGATCAGCACCATGGTCAGTGCCAAATGGGCCAAAAGTCCTGAATGTTTCACCAGCAGCAAAGAGGGAGAGATTGCGAATGTTTTCATAGCCAAAAGCAATTTAATAATAGAGACTAATAAAAAAGAAATTTTTATATGCAAAAAATAAGTTATAGCCAATGATTTAAATAAACAGACATTACATGACAAGTATGCTATAATGGTCAAAAACGTGTGAATTAAACATCAGTCTATATTATTTAAAATATGGCATTGCCAGATGGGGAGGAGATGGTCTAAATGATTCTCCTAGAAGATTCCTTCAGACTAAAATCACTGACTTGACTAGACTAGAAAATCACTGACTTTGTGGAGTATACTAACATTTATAAAGCAAATGTATTTCACAGGGCCTAGTTTCCAAAGCCCTGTAGTTTCAGGTATATCCTAACTTTTTAAAATTACATAGAGAAATATTAACCTTGCAAAAGACAGAAAACTTTCCTCAGGCTAAAGTCTCTGTAACACAGCAATGTTGCTGGCTCAAGGACAGATGTCCTTGGTTAACCTACCATTGATATGTAAAAATACTGAGAAAACTGCTGCAGGCAAACACGGT